AGTTCATAGATGAGTTTCTGTGAGTGGACTATAAATCTGACAGCCAACAAACCTCAGTTAAAAAGCTGCTTAGATAGGAAGCTAGGATTATATATCTTATAATGTTTGTACTACAACAAATCTGAAAATGTCTGAGCATTAACTAAAGATATTCCACACACACCCGACTTACTAAAATGCTCAGTTCATTGTATCCTTTCCTATAATATTGTACTAAAGCCTTATAACAGTAAATCTCATCTTGCAGATAGTTCATTTGTTAACAGRTCAGTTATTTCCCCTTCCAAATATTGCCAAAAGCAACAGGAAGATCCTGATTATGTCCAAGTAAAGAGTGAGAGAAGCAAAGATGTACTCCTCTGGGCTGAGCTCATACTTCTTTCCACCCATGATGATCTGGACATCGAATGCAAGGAACTGAAAAAAAAAAGAATCAAAATGACATGGAGGACATGGCCCAGGATACTATTAAGGTTATACTCCCAACTAATTGGGGACTAATTTTGTCTATTTTTAAACTCTTTCACTTCGTATCAAAAATGCCTTTATAGTTCTGATTTTCAAATATTGTAATAGCTGAATCATTAAGCCTATTGATGGTGTGTTCTAGACTTTAATTTGATGTCGCTATGGCCAACACCAGCTGATATACAAACAGCAGTCTTGTTTGTACTTGTTTGCCTAGTTTCTGTGCAGGGCACAAAAAGCAATAGATATTGTTTTAAAATTTAAAAGCTGTAAGCTGTTTATTGACTTTGGAATCATGACTCAGATCCATGCCATTTCCAATCTCACAACTTGAATATATGAAGTTCAACTTACAGCGACAAACAAGAGAGCTAGTGCTCCTCCAAGAACTATTTTGCCAGCCTAAAATATAAAAAAAAACTGTCAACAACAACAACAAACCAACAACAATAATTGAATTAGGAGATTGGCATCCCACTTTGGTTTAAAAAATGGTGTAAAAATTTAATAGCATGGGCTATTTTTCAACTTACAGTTGTATTYAAAAGCATCCAAATTGGTGTGAAGATGGACATAAAGAACAACACCAGAGCACAACAGAACAGAACACCACCCCACTTGGTGAAATCGTACTGCAACAGAACAAAGATTGATATCAATGAACATATTGAAAAGGACACAATATGAGGATGAAGTGAGTTAGACAACTCATCAACATGGATAAAAAACCCTCACCTTAGTTTGACAGGCAAACAGCATCACAGAGAAGCACACCAACTAAAAATCAACATTCAAATTTTAAATAAACCAAACCATTTTTACATGTACACGATTATTCTCGTACTCAGATCCTTCTCAGTTTCCCGGTGGAAAATCGAAGGCTCTGGTTTGAGATGAATGAGTCTTTGATTTAATTGGTTCAAAAATTCCCATGTGCCATCAGTATGTATATATGGTACATCCCAAATTCTGGGTCTTCCAGGTTTTATGGTATAAAAATAGAAAATGGAATTTATTCTAGACAGAAATCTATAGAGTCATCAAATGTTTTTCTTGAGTTAGCCACCACCCCCTCCCCCCACCCCAATGTTTCCCTTTTTGGCTCTTCCATTGAGTACTAAACTACAAATCTTTAATGTACTTACACATGTAACTCCCATCAGTATCAGGACAATGTTAGTCTGGTGGTAACTWGAAAAATGTATGTACTGTTAGCAGTGTCCTGAATATCATTGTTCCTTCTTAGTAATAATTTCAAGAGGCCAAAAATTGGAAGGCTTTGACTGCGAAAAAAAGTCCTGAGACTTTTCTGCAAGTCTTATAATATTGACTAAGCTGAGCTTACCTGGAAATGGCTGCCACAAGGTATGACAGAGTTATAGTCTGGAATGAAACAATAGAAAAATAAGTGCCAGATATAATCACATTCTGGCTGGTTTAGACAATGCCTAAAATTGCCCCCTTCATGATTAACCTACGCCATCTTGATAAAATAATTAAAGAAGCCTTTGCATGAAGTGAGTCTACTAGAGGATGCATGAGCTTGCCATAAAAAATATTTTGAACGAAAAAAAGGCATTTCTCACTGCAACACTAATTGGTTTAATTTCTTCCTTTCATGAAGGCAGATGACTTAATGTACCTTTTAAAATAGGGATTTGAGTGAATGACATTCATTTATAATGCATTTTGTTTAGAAATAGCATTTTATAGTATAATCTATGCACATAGTTAGTTTGACCAAGTTTGATTGAAGCACCTACAAATTGTAACCCCGCATAGCATTCTCCAATATTTCCCTTTATAAAGTCAGATTGTAATGACACTAATGTTAACTACATGATATGTTTTCAGAGAAAGCATCAAAATAATGCAAACAATCGAGAATATAATATCATTAGATATGATAACCTTAAAATCAGAGTATAATTTACTGTATTTATAAAAAAAACTTTGTCTAAACGAACCCGCACTTACAAAAAGCACCAAGCAGATGACATTTGATGGATAACTCCTCCTGAAAACAAACACATTAAAAATTTAAAAAAAATTACATCCAAATGCAAAAATGTTTTAACTTTCAGCATATCACCTTTTGAAAAGTCCTTTTTGTTAAATATGTTTATTAACTAGAATTTTGTTTTCCTACCTGACACTATCACAGCAAACAAGGATGAAATAAAGGATAAAGAACAAAACACTGAAAGATAACAAATAATGACAAAACATGGTTAAAATGTATCAGTAATATACATACTATATAGTTTGACATCAAATCTCTCTACACACTATGATGACTATATAATATTACTATGCTTGTCAAACGTAAATAGATTTACTAGGAGTTTCAAAAATAGATAAAGAAAACAAATTATTATTTATTACTACTTACTAGGAAGTGATGTACACCCAAAATCCTCCTTCTTCRTGCTGAACAAAGTGTTTAACTGGCTCACTACAGGTATATCAAAATAGTGTTGTAAGCAGAAACTCTTTACTTAAATGATTAAAATGTTGGTTGTATTAAAATGTCATCAAAATAATTAATTACCGYATTTACCCAYGTATAAGCCACTCTCRTAGATATTATAGTATTATAGYATTATTGTGCAAAAATAAAAGAATGTGAATTCTTTTTGAACTTTTGATATGTTTTTGAKACAAAACACATCATTGTATATCTGGTTCGCAAAACCGAAAGCTCAATAATTATTATTTTATTTTTTCTTCTGTTCTGGTTAGGTAAAGTAATTATATCAAATGCTATTGATTACTGTTATTTATCAAAAGTTTTTAGCTTTACCAGAATATAAAGAGACAAATAGTTCCGACTGTAACGGTCAGTTGCAATGAAAGAATGAAGAAAACCTGAAAAAATAAAAAGTATGATGAATAAATTCATTGTTCATTAGAATAAATAAAATCACAAATCAATTTGAAAATAAAAAAGAAGGAAAACCTTATAATACATTTATCAAAGTATTGTAAAAATCATAGGTCGCATGTATGGKCTTACTATGGCAATTTGAACAATGATATCAACATRCATGTACCACAAGGAACCAAGACTATRCACTTGTGTTGCTTTTGCTGCAGTGTATTGAGTGGTGCACAGTGAGATTTTTCAGTTATTCCTACTCACCTATTCTAACCTGAYRCATACACCTACTTGCGAAAACGTTGTCATAAAAAATAGGACAATGAGGTTGAACACTTTCTTTTGTTTTGTTTTAATTTATTCCTTTTTACTATATTCGAATGTTCTATTTTCTATGACAACATTTCTGCAAGTTATCTTTAGTTTCTACACTGTGCAATTTAGTATTGCTTAATAATTCAAAGTACCATATTTACCCATGTATAAGCTGCTCTCGTAGATAAGCCGCACCCCGAGTTTTAGGGGCGTTTTTGAGRGGRAAAAAAGACAGAAAATAAACTTTTCTCTTTTTGATCGCCATTTGCGAACACAGCTTTCTTTGATTTTAAAGTGCTTTTCMGCTGCTYGATTGATCCAAATTAGCATCGCGTTACCACAACAACTCCAAGACAAAACGAWTCAAAATGCTCTCTGTTCATGATCATTGGCTCAATAACCACGCACTTTTCAGTGAATTATTGACTGGTGTTTCTCAGGGCTAGATTTTCGGAGAATTTATAGTAATACTGAGAAGTTTGGATTAAAATTTCTTTTCGATCACCGTCCGGTCTGCAGTAAGTAAGTAGCACCGTGAATGCTAATTTATGCAAATTAGTTTTTATTGGGCATTTTTACAAGTCTTCACGTAGATAAGCCGCACCCCCGATTTGGGAACAATTTTTTTGGAAAAAAAGTGYGGCTTATACATGGGTAAATACGGTATACACCAAATGGATTTAGAGACACTTACCTTTCTGATGAAAGCTATAGAAAAGAAAAACAAAAGAAAACACTTGTTAAACAAATTTTATCCTTTTTCTTCAGGATCAGGGTTTGTGCTATATTTCATCACAAAATTCCAGGAGTTGTCAATACTTAAAACAGCACATAAAATTGATTTTCAATGACTATGTTCTAATCTTAAAGGAACCAAAATTTACAAAGAAATACATCGGTGAGGTATGGTATTCTTTTATTCAGCAGAGATCCTATACTTGTAATGAAAACAATCTGTCTGCAAAGAAGACAATAACAATTTATGCTTGATTGAATCTAAGCTTGCACAAAAGAGAATTCAAAACTTGAGGTTCTCACAATACCATTCTTTGTAAAATTAAAATACAAACATCAGATGTACAGTGTATCTCTCTAAATTTTCAATACTTGGCAAATTTACTAATTTTTTATGGTGAAGTGACCTCTTTTTCATATCTTGCTAATAATTGACCCACTTCCTGTTACCAATTCTTATCTTTACAAATTAAATGTTGAAATAGAAACAGTCTTAGTTTAATGCACTAGTGTTTGTCAGTGATGTTAGTGAGATATGAAAAATTGTTGCACAATGCATGCATATATGTCCATGTATACATCAAGTGACTTGAAAAATTGCTGCACACTGATGGCAGTACAAGACATTGAAATTTAATTGTTTGTCTCTTTGTCAATCACAAACAACCACATCTTTTGAATAAATAATAATATAACCATTCATTTATATGGGAAAAACAGAGGTCAAGAATTGAACAACTATATTTTTGAAAGTAAACTACTTCCTGTTCACAATGTCATCGTATGTCCGCTTGTTATTGCATTAAGCCAAGTCACTCATCCTCATACAGACTTMATATAAAATTTTCAACACAAGCTTTTGATTTATTTAAGTTATGCGACACACAACAGCAAGGGGTATAAGCTACAATAGCTAAAATCTAGCTTGATGACTTTAAGATTGATCAGACATTAATTTAGCTTTWGCACATGCTTTGACACAAAAACATCAACAATTTAACTAGCAATCAAGCATACCCATTCGAATGGTTTTATCGGTGAAAGMAATAACTTGCCCATCATACTGGTAAGGATCRCTATTGTAATACGTTGYGGGCTTCGTCGACTCTTCGTACGTTGGCGGTGCCGGTTGTCCTTGAGGCTGCGAAAATCCTCCAGAAGTAGGGGGATAGTATCCAACTTGAGGTGGAGGATATGCTGGGTTGTTGGGAGGAGGGTAACCTTGTGGTGTAGCTGTAGTATTTACTGGAGGATAGGCTGGTTGTGGAGGATACGGTGCCTCATAGCCAGGTGGCCATGCGTTTGCAGGTTGACGATTCGGATCGCCATGATTATAACTTGGGTTTGCTGCCATTTCTATGCTCACTATAACGTTGACTAATGCGTAAATCGACTAATTTCGATTTGGTCGAGATAATAAGCTTCTCAAAGAGAGCAAAACCTTTCAATCTTGAAAATTACTCGCAATCYAAACCGAACCACAGCCGACTAAACGAAAATTGTCAAAATCATCACACGCACYATAGAAAGATGTCTTCGAACTGTGAATGACGTCATAGGATATGGAAGTTGTCACGTGATATACACTTACGTCATTTTCCTTTTGTAGGAGCACCTTCGAGCAGCTCATACCACTTATTAAATTTTCAAAAATCGATGTTTGAAGAAATGGTAAAGTCTGTTACCACTACCATATAGAAATTTTTCAATATCTTATATTTAGGGTCCATTAGTTTTTTTTGCGTGACTGACGAAAAATATCACGGAGGACCGTCACGCACGAGCCCAAAAATTTCCCACAGGTARCCCGACATGTCAGGTGTAGAATTACAACCATTTACAACCGACATGTTGGAGRAGCTGAATTAGTAACTGCCTAACTTTGAGTGGAAATAAAATGGCAAAATGTCAACCTAGTCCCGTAAAATCGCCTGGACAAGTTTATTGTGATGTGTGCAACGTATTCGTTTCTTCTGGTAAGGTTTTGGAGCGTGTAAAGTTGCCAGAATCAGAATTTGTGAAGTTCATAAAGTTCCTTCTATTAAAAGTTTGTGTAATTATTGATTCGACTGTTTCTACTTTACCAATAGTTGGACTACTTGAAACTCACAACAAGGGTAAAAAACACCAACAGTTGGTTAAGTTAAGAGAAGAACAAGCAAGAGCAAGTAGAGTTAGTTTGTATGTAACCGGTTTCAAGACCTCTGAAACAAGTGAGGATGAAATGAAGGAGTTCTTCAACGCTTATGGACCAGTGAAAAAAATTTATTTTGAYAAAAACAAGGTGAGAAAATTTGAAATGTATATTTATAATCATATTTGCGATAGTGTAGCAATTGCCTTTAATAGACAGAAATCATTCAAATCATGTGTACAAAGATAGAGAAACAAATAAGTTACATTCAGGATGTTTTTGACATGCATGTGTCTGTGATATTTACACAATTGTTTTTAGTATTGTATCTTTTCATCTAGGGGCRTTTTGCTATTGTTGAGTTTGAAGATGAGAACAGTGTGTCATCCATATTGGAGAAGAAGGAACCTTTTGTTCTCAAAGAAAAACATCTGAAAATCAAAAGAAGAACKTTTGCAAGTCAAAAATCACAGCCAGAAAGGAAAGGGGAATCTGTAAACACAAATTCTAAGAAAAGAAAGAAAAATCATAGTGAAACATTGTCATCTTTGTTATCTGATGAAACACTAAAGAAGATGAATGAAGTTTCAACTGTAAGTATGAATGCTTATTGCATGTTAGCATGTAGTTGTTTGACAGTGTATTCTCAATCATTTTTTTGTKTTATTGTCTGCTTGCACAAATACTTGAACTAATAATTGATWATTCACAATTCRCTTGGTAGGTTCCACAACAAATTGATCTTTTAATAAGTGAAGTAAAGCTCACTGACRAAGACCTTCACTTGCGCTCTCTAATATGCAAAATATTAAAAGAAGTCTTCCAAGAATTTGTCCCATCTTGTGATGTGATTCTCTTTGGTTCTTCTGCAAATGGTTTGGGTTGGWCAGGGTCTGATTTAGATATCACTCTTCTGATTGACACCAACATGGATAAATGGAACATTGACTTAGATGAGTCACTTGAGGGTGACCAAAGTGAGAAGGAATCCRACAAATTCAAAGACATCCATTCTTTTGTAGTAAAGGTGTTAAGGACTTTGGTTCCAGGATGTTCTAACATTATTCCAATATTTACTGCTAAATGTCCAGTGATCAAGTTTACTCATCAAACTACTGCCCTTTCATGTGACCTAACTGTAAATAACAGGTGAGATGTTCGTTTACTTAAAGAAAGGTTTTGCAGCAAAGAAAGGCAGATAGAAGAATGTTCTTATGCAACAAATGGCTTGCTTTCCATGTGGAATAGACTTTAGTAAATTGAGCATGCTTGGCTTATTGTACTAGCAATTGAACTCAATAGTACATTTACTTAATTTTACATTTTTGCATTGGTCATTTTTTTTTCTTTTAGACTTGGTCTTCAAAATTCAGCTCTTCTTAAATGCTACATGGACTTAGATCCCAGGGTATCACAACTAGTGTATGCAGTGAGAACATGGGCCAAGTCAATAGGTGTTTCAGGGGGAGGCAGTGGTCAGTTAACAAGCTATGCTTTAACAGTCATGGTTCTTCGTTATCTTCAAGTCATCAATCCTCCTGTCATCCCTTCCTTACAAGATGTATCAGGATGGCCTTTGAAAGAAGACATGGAAGTTAATATTGAAAAAGAGCTTGTGGATGGATGGGATTGTGGATTTTATAAGGACGTCTCTAATCTTGCTCCAAGTTCAAATACAAAACCAGTTGGTGTGTACTAGCTCTATTTATTATTATATAAACAATATTGTTAACTCATTCATGACTCATGAATAATTAATGAGGAAAACACAATAGAAATCGTGAAGAGTGTTGTAATGTTTGATACAAAGCTGTCTTGATTTGCATAAACTTCAAATCTAATTTTCTCAGCCAAATTCAATTATATCCTTAAGTTTTTCAGACTGATTCCATAAGTCGTAGCATTTGTCCTCGATTTTTCGGTTTGTCCCAGAGAGGGAACTGGTACAGACGTATGGATTCAGTCTATAAGTTTTTAATTTGTAGATTATGAATGTATACACCTAAACGTTTCACAAGTAATTTACAACATTCGCGTCTGTGTTGTATAGGATTTTACAATCTCGAGCCGAAGGCGAAGGCCGCTCATGTTGTAAACATTACTTATAGCTCTATATTTTCTCCAAATTGAGCCTAGCCTTCATCTCAAAGAGCTAAAGATCTTTTGGGAATACTGGGATAGCTTCAATTTGGAAAAAAAATATGAAATTAATAATGAAAGTACATTCTTTATGCAGTTGAGAGCTTGAAGTTGAATACRGATCAGAAGTATTATTAGTCAAGGATTGATTTTTTTCTATGAATAAATTCCTCTTGTTTTCTTAACTCAACAGATAAACTTCTTGAAGAATTCTTTGAATTTTACAGCAGCTTTGATTATGCAAAGTGTGCAATTAGCATWAAAGATGGCTCTTGTTGYACTATCTCATCACTGGAAGAYRAATTAGAAAATATCAGAACAAGCAAATTGCCAGATCTTTGTAGTAATGAAAAAGAAGATGAAACTGCATCCACCTTAGCATGGAAGACAACTCCTTTATGCGTACAAGATCCTTTTGAACTTACTCACAACCTGACTCAAAATGTTGGTGCTGGGTCACTTAAAGACATTGTTCAGTGCATGATAGATGGAAGGAATATCTGCAGAAAGTTTTTAGTTGAAGCCCATTCAGACAAATCAGGTGAYAWTGGTATTGTCAAACTTTTTAGGTACTACCCAAGAACAACGTCTAAAAAGCACAAGAAAGAGGGCTATACTTTTACTGTTTGTTTGTCTAAAAGTTTAGAAAAAACTTCAACTGGTGGTATACTTTTGTTGAGTTTTTCATCTTTCAAGAGCTTTTTCGAAAGCCTTTGTAATTATCTAGAAAAAGAGTTAAGGATAAACTGCATGGTTAACTCTGATGAAGAATCAAATGAGAGCTTCAGTGCAATTTGTACAGCCAAGACAAATACTTGGACACACTGCAGGAGAGAGAGACGTAAGGCTTTAAGGCACGAGTCAAATACAAGCATGGATACTGAAGAATTTACCACTTCAGATGTTGTGGCAAAAGACCAAACATCTAGTGATGAAACCAAAGATGCTGATGATCCATGTTTGTTGTTTAGATTAGTTGTCAAAAGAGACACATCTAGAGAAGGCTCTGAGTGTGAAGTTAAACTGGAACATCTAGGGGGTAAAGGTCTTCAAGTGTTTGAAAACTTTTATGCATACTTCAAAAAACAAGTGGCAATTGTTTTTAAATAAAAAGGAAGCTCAGACAGGTCCATTTTGGGATTATTTTCAAGAGGTCATGGTAGTTTTAAAAAAAATGTAATCATAATCTCAATGGAAATGTGAATAAAATAAAATGTTCAAAGCATGTTTGACCGTGTTGTTATTCTGTATAATATATCATAACAATGCATAGGGCCCAGTTCCCAGATGAAGGTACTGATTAGGCTTTTTCTCATGTAGCAAGACAAAAGATTTTTCTGACAAGGATTAACCATTCATGCCATTTTGTCTTGTTTATATTTAGGACACTGATTTGGATTCTGAACTCTTMTTTTTTGATCAGATTCTGTTTTCATGCTGTGTATTCCAGATTTGCACAACCCATACAACAGCTACAACCCTTACAACTGCTACAACCCTCACAACCGCTACAACCCTTACGACCACTACAACCCTTACAACCACTACAACCCTTACAACCCTCACAACCACTACAACCCCCACAATCGCTACAACCCTCATAAGCGCAACCCTTACACCCAAGCCCTTGCAACCCCCTGCGATCATTACAGCGGTAGCCCTTCGGTCAGCTAACCCCCTATGACCACAACAACCCGGCTACGACTGTGCTGGCCCTAGCTCAACAATACATGCAGTGTCAAACGCGCCCTTGCCACACCTTTGATTTAAGTCACGCCCCAAAATCCTTTTGGTAAAAAAATGCAATTCAAAAAGGAAATGTATTCAAAAAAATAAATTCGTGTATGAAAAATTGATTCTTGATTTTCGTTACAGCCAATCACAGAGCTCGTTCAGACGTATGACTTGAAATTCAGAACAAAATATACATTTACTTTTAATGARATTTCGTTATGTATTTTGGAGCTGGAATTATACATACATTGACTTGTTGCATAATTTGTCAATTATAATGCTTTTGGCATTGATAAATCTTCACTACAAATAGCAGTGGTGTCTGCAATAACCAAAATCTATAAAACTATTTTTCCACTTAAATTTTTCCTCTAAACGTCCTGCATTTCACTAGTAMAGTGTGTATAACAACAAGAATTTTTGAAATTGAGTGCAAACAAATAATATATTATACATACAGAAGTTATACTATTTTATGCTAATTCTCTTTACTTTTGTTCAACTATCGTAAAAACATGCCTATAGTAACATCTATTTTTACTGAATTTAAGAATGCAGCAGCTTATCTCTGAAAAGTCTTYAATATGAAACACGTTAGTTTACAAACGCTTGAAAATATAAAAAGCTGGTYGAAAACTTTATAATTATTAATAATATTATTTATTCTTTGAATATCAAAGAAGATTGAATTCAAATTCTTATTCTTTATTACTATTCCTTTTTTTGTCAAATAACRCAAAGTAATGCTTAAACTCAAGAGGAAAAAGACAATCCAGTTAAGGAATGCATTCATGTCATATTATTTYCATTGAACTGAACACAAGAATCCCAACATGCAATATCAAAGGCACCACTAAACTGCTATCAATCAAAAACTACCTGTGTTTTTAAAAGCTTAAACTACTGATGGCAGTAGTCTACTACAATAATTATTGTGTCTAGAGTGGTCTTAAGTAGCAATGCAAGACTAGCTACTGGTCTATGTATGAATAAATATATTCCTCAAGTAAGGAATAAAATTGTGTAGACCCTTAAAAATTGTGCTTATGATTTGAAAGATGAAAAAACAATTTAAGTTTTTATAAATCATAGAATTAACAGTACYGTAAATTAAAGCCATTTCCAGAGCTGGAAATGATTAATCTTGCTTGCACAAATTTCTTAAACTGGTAAGGGAGCAAAGCAAAAGCTCAGCTTGCAATGATAGACATAACTTATTTATGGCTTAGACATGTGAAACTTATCTATCTATAGACAGTATTAATAAAAGCTGAACCTCATTTTTGCATAGATTAAACGGCATAGCCAACTGCCAAGATTGCACAAGCAACTGAAAGTATTTTTCCATTTGTTTTTATCATTATTACTGTGGTGTTTTCTCTCTTACATCAGGGCACACCTTACCGTAGCCATTCGAGTTTTGTACAAGATAACCAGTTAGAAAAAAGTTTGCTTAGAAAGAAAAACCCCTTCATTATGACTGAATAACTGCTGATCACAAGAAGAGGTAGGTATACAGCTAAAAATAAACATGTAAATGATGAAAGTTGAAGTTCCAAGGTGYATTAGGTGGCCATGGTAAGGTGTGTCATGCTGCAAATCCAGTGAACACTGTGGATACAATGTACATGGATTCCACTTTATGCATGATCTTCAGCATCTTCCTAATTTTTTTACAATAATTATCTACATGTAGTTAGGCCCACGAGGTAAAATACCAGCACCCACTCCACCCTGGTGCTTACACATTGGTGTGATAAATGTCCACTTGTCAGATTGATGGTCGTAGCATTCAACAGTGTTAAGGTTGGTCAAACCATCATAACCCCCRATGGCAAATAACTTCCCTCCAACTGTTACCACAGCAACTCGACTGCGTCTGCTATTCATTGGAGTAGCAAACTTCCATGTGCCAACACTAGGGTCATAGCATTCAACTGTGTTTAAGAAAGTACTCCCGTCATAACCCCCACAAACATATAGACAACCATTTAGAGAACCAACACCCACTCGGCAGCGTCGTGTATTCATGGTCGGTCCTGCAGACCAACTGTCTGTCTGTGGATCATAAACTTCTACAGTGTTGAAGATTGACAGTCCATTGTGTCCACCAATAACAAACAACTTGCCATTTAGTTCAGCAACTCCAGAAGCACTGCGTAACATTTCCATTGGTGCAAGGAAATTCCATGAGTTTGTTTGAGGTGAAAAGCACTCCATTGTACTCAAAGAGATATGTCCRTCATACCCACCAACAACATAGATCTTGTCATTCATCACAACTGCTCCAAGCGCACTGCGACGGGTGTTCATGGGTGTGGTCAGGATCCATTTTCCAATATGAGGGTCATAAAACTCAACTGTGTTCAATCTCTTATGGCCATCAAATCCACCCAAGGCATACAGCTTATGTCCTAGCACAGCAACCCCAACWCGAGTTCTCAAAGAATTCATCTTTTCAGCAGGAGCCCATTGTCCTGTTATAGGATCAAACGTTTCTACTGTTGACAGAGCTTCTCCTGAAGAATTCAATCCACCAATAGCAAAGATCAAGCCTGCTGCTTCACTGCATCGCCGAGGTCTTGTACGTGGAGAGCGATGCTCTGACCGTCTTTCAGGAAGKAGAAGGAAGTCTTTCGCTTCGTCAACTAAATCTCTACACGTCAGGTTGTTTTTGATAAGATCTTTGGATGCAATTGARTCGCASAGGTATTGAGGGCGAATTAAAGGCAGACGGACGTGTTTTAGAAGTTCGGGTAAAAAATCTTTTCTTTCGTCAGTGTCCTTCTCGGTCCAACACATCACTGCTTCGAAGACTTCTTCTTCTGTTTTGATATTCAAATCGTCACTGGAAATTAGTGCTTTCAACTCATCTGGATCTAGACCWAGAAACTCTTCACTTTTMGAAACATCAGAGAAATTTTTCATGGCAAAAACACCSGCTGCCTCGACTAARTCTCCRCAGCAAAATGTATCAGCAAAACTTCGTATGCCCAAACAGTTGCTGGGATGCAAGACACGATGAAGAAACTCCACACAAGCTTGCTTAACACTCGTTAAWTGAAGGAGACTTGAAGCACACATTAAATTTTGCACATTATCGACTGTTATTTCTGTCCTTCCGGAATAACAGAAGTTAATGAGTTCTTCTAAAGCGGAGAATTCAATACCATGGAGAGTCACCTCGTCGAGACGGCTTTCGACCATAGAACCCGTAAACATTGCATTAAAATATGGACTAGCGGCTGCCAACACAACACGATGAGATTTTATATATTGATCCCCAACAATTAGCGTTATATCACATAGCTTTCCGTCGCTTCGAAGTTCATTGAGAGTCAAGAAAACGGTCGAAGGAAAGTCAGGTACACAGAACACAACACCTTCCTCGGAAGCCATGCTGGCGGACTGATGAACGAAAATGCAAATCACATGACTACACACCAACATTGAAAACAAAGCCAAGTGATAAGAATACATTTATTCAGTAAAAATATATAACATAGCTACATGTCATTATGAGAAAACCATAACAAGTTTTGAATAATAAATATAAAATTAATATTAATTAAAAATTAATACAACACATGGTATTGGTTTATATTTCTTAAATAGCTTACATGTCCAATCAGAATTGACAATTTTGTCATATGATCAACTTTTTTAAAAAAGCATGATAAGTGATTATTCATTTTGTTAATGCAGTGCCATTCCGCCATCACTGATGTTTTATTCGTCGATGTTATTGTGTATGGGCAATAAAGAACATGTCAATTTCTAGAATTTCTGTGTAGCTTCTATCCATGCAACCCAACAGTTGTAAAGAAAATAAAGAAGGCAGTATCTTACGGCGCTTATTGAATAATGATTTTATCTTAAATTGTCACAAAGCAGGTGGCAATAATTTAGAAAGTAGGCACGGGGTACATCCCTCTCCCCAGTTTTTGTGAGAATAATGAAAATCAAACAAAGCCAGCAAAAAAAATGAGTATATATCATTGTTATAGTATATCATTTTCTGTTTGATGGTAATTGTTATCACTATTTGTAAACTATTGTTTTTTTTCCTTTTGTTTATATGTAATCTGTGCTTTATTAATCTGTAATAAAAACCATCAAAAAAACCCTGGCATACCCAGAGGCTTGCCTATTGACATTTTTCCAAATTTATTTTATTCCGAGTTTATGTTCATATCAATATTTGTCAAATACCCACATTGTAATTATACAGAGTGAGAGCTTGATTGTTTATAGTCTAACTGGAACTTTCTCAAAGCCTCAACTATATTTCATTAGACTAAAAGACTAAAATGTTGGGCATGACAGATTTTGTGAAAATCCATTGATCATAACTGTGTATCAAAATTCTTTTGCATCAYTTATACTTGAAGAATCTTACCTTCTTCACAACCTCTTCCTGCCTTTAATTCCGTCAAAATGTCAATAAACCCTACCCAGCGGGAAACCCTGTTTCAATAAAAGTAGAGTTGCCCAGTCACAGGTAACGTTTTATTATCAATAGCCCCTGTATGCCCACATGGGGCAAGACACTGATAGGTGCATAACGCTTGGGCAGGTCGGTCAGCCAGCCCCAGGTTGTCTTTAATGTTTTATGCAGTAACTCAGATATTTGTTCCTGGTGCCAAGGCAGACACGAAAATGGCGTACTGGCCCTGTTTAAGACACTAGAGAGTGAAAATCCATACCCTGTTCAAGACTAATCGTAAATTCGAGGGAAATATTATWGAATCATCTTACCCATAATACAAGGTCGGGAAACACTATTAATTTTGTTAAATGCAG